AGCATTCCTATGCATTAACAACAAAATCACTGAGAGAGAAATAAGAGAAGCCACCCCCTTCACAATAGCATCCCAAAAAATGAAATACTTAGGAATTAATCTCACGAAAGAAGTAAAAGATCTGTTCAGGGAAAATTGTAACACCCTGAAAAAGAAATTGAAGAAGAAAATGGGAAGACATCCCTTGTTCATGGATAGGAAGAATAAATATTGAAAATGGCCATTCTCCCAAAACTCCTATACAGATTCAATGCAATCTCAATCAAAATACCACAACATACCTGATAGATCTAGAGAAATCACTCCTAAAATTCATCTGGAACCAGAAGAGACCTAGAATAGCAAAGGCAGCCCTAAGCAGCAAAGGCAAGGCAGGAAGCATCACAATCCCTGACTTGAAATTATACTACAAAGTTACTGTGATAAAATCAACATGGTACTGGAATAAAGACAGACTTAAAAATCAGTGAAATAGATTAGCAGATACAAGTACAACTACAAACACACTCAGCCACCTTATCTTTGATAAAGGGGCCAATGTAAATGGTGCTGGAAAATTGGCTGTCCATATGCAAAAACTAAAACTAGACCCATGCCTATCAACATGTACTAAACTAAAGGCTAAATGAATCAAAGATCTAAATAGTAAAACAGAAATACCAAATCTGTTGGAAGACAAAGTAGATAAAAATCTTGAAGGCACAGGGTAGGTAGAGAATTCATGAACAAGAATCAAACCGCACATGAAATACTTCCCAGAATCAATAACTGGGATCACATCTTATTAAAGAGTTTATGCACATCAAAAGAAATCTCCAGCATAGTGAAAAGAAAACCCACAAGTTGGGGATAAAATCTTAGTGAACTGTCCCTCAGACAAAGGATTTCTCTCTAAAACATATAAAGAATTAAAAAAGACCCCCAAAATTCAAAAACCCAACCCAAAAATGAGCATCTGAGATGAATACAGTTCTCAGGTAAATACAAATGGCAAATAAATATATGGAAAAATATTCAGCATCATTAGTCATTAGGAAAATGCAAATTAAAACCACACTGAGATTCCATCTGACTCCAGAAAGAATGGCCAGGATAAAGAAAACTACCAACAACAATGCTGGAGAGGCTGTGGGGAAAAAGGAACTCTCCTGCACTGCTGGTGGGAGTGTAGACTGGTGCAGCCACTGTGGAGGTCAATCTGGAGGTTCCTCAAAAAACTGGAATTGGAAGTTCCATTTGATCCAGCTATTCCACTTCTGAGTACATTCCCAGAAGAACTGAAAATATGTTACCACAGTGATATATGTGCACCCATGTTTATATCAGCACAATTTGTAACAGGCAGATCTTGGAAACAATCCAAGTGCCCATCAACTGAGGAATGGATAAAAAGTTGTTGTATTTTTATACAATGGAGTACTACTCAGCTACAAAGAATGATCACATTGAGATATTTATAAATAAATGGATGCACCTTGAGACCACACTCATAAGTGAAATAAATCAAACTCATATGTATAAATACCATATAGTCTCCCTAGTGTAAGAAATGGTAAGGGTACATAAGATTTTATGGTAATCATGATTCTCCAATACATTGCTTTGATGTCTTATAATGTTTTCATTCATCGGTTGGAATGGTTTTATTCTGTTTTGTTTGATTTTATTATGTGTGATGGTATAAACAGCTACTTTGAAGAAAAGACATTATGGCAGCCATTGCTGATTTAATATCATCTTGCTTTGAAATCCTACCATAGTTTTGTTCTTCTGTTTCCGTTGGTTCCATCATGTTGTGTCTGATTGAATTTTATTATGTGTAATAGTATAAACTTAAATTGTGAAGTGCTGTGTTGCTTACTTTCTGTTCGGATCTGCTCTGTTCTGTCCTCTTTTGTTTTATTATCTTTAAAATAAAAAAAGAAACAGTGGAAATAATTCTACCACCTGGGAAAACTGACATGGAGATTGAAGAAGTTCGTGAGACAAGGAAAGCACAAGGTAAACGAGACATTTGTGTTATTATCACTGAAGCTGTTTTATCTGAGGCACATCTGGGAAGTCTTTTAAGCAATGTGAGAGGAGGGTAAATGTATTTGGCTGGCGAGGAGGAAGTTCCTCCTTTCAAATCACACCAGGCAAGGCATCACCCCCTGGGCACAGAGCACTGGCCCTCCCTGCACCACTGGACCCCAGGAGACAGGTTCTGGATGCCTCTCATGAAGAAAAGGACACTAGGAAGAGCTCGGGTGTGGCTGCCCATTCCCTCCTCAGTCCCTTCTCTTGCAGGCAACAGCTGACCATAGGTCCAGGGCCAAAGTGAAGCCTCTCCAGTCAGGAGATTCCATTCACAGATCCTGGACATAAATACAGACACTGGCCCTGGAAACCAGGAAGGTGGTGAGTGGAAAACCTTCCTCAGCACAGAAGAAGCTAGTCATTTCCATGTGATCTGCCACAACCTGACATTTTCCAGACCCTGGCTCAGGACCAGCACAAAGACTTGAGGGGCTCATGAAGCCACAGCTCCGGCCCAGATGTGGAGAGCATTGTGAATAACAGAGACCCCAGCATAAGGACCCCAGCCAAAGGATCCAGCTTACACGATCCATAGGAGCAGCCCTTCTAGTTAAAGGCTCTCTGACACATCTTTTCACTTTATGATCATGCTCAGGCCCTTAGTGTCTGGAAATTGCTTCTCCTTGCTGCTCCCTTGAAGGACTTAAAGGGGAAAGAAACAAGAAAAATAAATGTTTTTTCTTTCTAGGAAAGAAAAAGCAAGTCTGGCTTTATGCAAGCTGACTCTAGACCTCTGGTCACCCCTAGACAGGCCCAAGGTGTCTTTACTCTGCTTCTCCAAGACAGGTGGGGAGACTCATGCTGTCTGTGCACAAAGCCTAAGCATGCCTGGGAGTTTTCTTGTGCCTGTCAAAGGGCCCCTGAGGTCCAGTGCTTACAGAAAGTCTGCCTTTCTTTACCTTGGCTCACAGCTGGCAAAGCATCGTGTTGCCTCCATTCAGGGAGATAGGAGATGGAGCCACCCATCTTGTTCATAGAAAAGCTGTGGGGAGAGTGAGAAGATACCCCCCCCCCAGCCTAGAGCTGAGGATCTCTCCCAGCCTGGTCTGAGCAGGTGTCAACCGAAAAGGCAAGTTAGGCACACAGAGAAGAAAACTTTTATTTGAGCCAAAATGTATACAGAAAACATGCACTACCATTTCCCAGACTAAGAAATCCTGAAATAGCAACCAAGAAGACTGGGTTTTTATAGATTGATGGGGGAAAAAAAAGAATTTGAAACTTTAAAATGGTTATTATAATGCATTGGTTGATAAGAATATAGGACACAGCATATCTTTTTAGTTATTTATTATAGGTAAGAATTGTGATAAGCAGGAATAGACTTGTATTGGGTTAATGTATTATCTTTATGGTAGCAAGGAGTTGACTTACACATACAGTGCTAGATCTGATCAATTTAGGTGGCTGCAGTCTCATATCTCTGTTTACCCCTGCTAAAGAATTTTGTTACATTTTAAATCCTTTCTCAGCAATTTCTTTAATACTTACCACACATCTAAGCATCCTACTTCTAGAAATATAATCAAGAGAAGTAAAAATGTATGATGCATAAGTACTATCACAGTTTATAGCAGCCTTATTTGTAATTGCAAAAAAATAGATACAACACTTCCAGCAGGAATGGACACATACCCATCAATATGGTGAGATGCTGCTCAGCAATAAAAAGGAGAAAGATTGTGATGTTTGTCCTAATGATGAATTTTATGCTGAGTTGAAAGAAGCCAGACTCAAAAGCCTAATCTCTAACTTCATTGCTATGATAATCTAGAAAATAAAAAACAAAAGTATAAAAAAGATGAGTGATTGCAAGGGCGGGAGCCAGAGTTAAGGGAGCCAGAGTCAAAAGAAGCAGTGTCAAAGAGCAACAGGGAAATTCTGAGTGCATGAATCTGTTTTCTATCTTGACTGTGGTGTAGGTTAGGCACTGTATGCATTTTGTAAACCTGCAGAATGTCACTAAAGTATTAGAAGTATTTCATTGTATCTAAATTGTAAACTTCACACATTTACTTGGATCAGAAAAGCCATATCTAAGAGTACATTCCATAGAATTCAAATGCAACAACATAGAAACATTATTTATATTGTGCAAAACATTAACAGCCTTACTGAAGGAATCTTTTGAATACAAGATGGTACAGTAGAGCCAAGTTAAGAAATAGGACTTAGCCATTTTTAAAATGCATTATTTTATACCAGTTAACACGGAGGTATTTTTCACATTCCATTAAGGGTAGCATGATACTATTAAAAAATCACAAGCTAGCCAACAGATGATTTTCATGTTTGCAAGCACACATGTTCATGCATCACTGAGAGACAGGGATGTGTTCTGAGAACTGCATCTTTGAGTGATTTCTGTCTGTTGTGTAGAGTTTTATCCTTATTGAAGACTTGTTCTAGTGTTTTACTCTAGAATTAGCTCATTTAGCTTTCCCAAAACTTTTCATGAGCACTCACAGACTCATTGTTCACTTCCATACTATGAATGATAATGACTCTTAGATCCATTTAAACCAACCAGAACTAGAAATACATAGAACATTTTAGTTGGGTTCAGCTTTTTCTTTCAATACCACGTTTTGGTGTACACCTAGGGACCTAGTGCTGATTGTCATGATGCAGAAAGGATAAACTATGTCTGACTTTCACTCCAGGTCATTAGAAGTTTCTCCAAGTCTAGCTGGGTGTAGTGGTGCACAGTTAGAGTCCCAGCACTCTGTGGAGTACAGGAAAGGGGATTGCAAGTTAAAGCCCAGCCTAAGCAACTTTGTGAGATCCTGTTTCAAAATAAAAAGATAAAAAAGGGCTGCGGATGTAGCTCAGCGAGAAGGTCCTGCACTCAATCCCCAGTACTGCAAAAAAAAAAAAAGTTTCTCCATATCTGATACAGACTGTTCTCAATTTTCCACTAGTCTCATTGCCTTCAGTGGAAAAGACCCTTTAACAGCTTCCATCACTTTGTTCTTGTTCTCCAAGATCATAGCTACGGTGGAATGGACATGCCTCGCTGGTAAGCAAGAACCACACTGATCTTCCATCTTCATAGTCCTTTATCACTTTTAATTTTTTTTCCAGGTCAATCACTCAATGTAGCCTCTTACTGGCAACATTAGCAGGTAATTTTGCATAGTTAAAGAAACTAGGTGTGGTGGTACATGCTTGTAATCCCAGACTCAGGAGACTGGAGCAGGAGGGTTGACATGAGTTCGAAGCTAGCCTGGACTACATAAGCAAGTTTAAGGCCAGCCTGCACTACATAGTGAGACCCCTGTCTCAAAACAAACAAAATCTACCAAAATGCATAGTGAGGGCCCATGATGAGCAAAATAACATGAGATTAAATTAAGCACCAAGGGAAATGATGCAATCAAGAGACAGAGTCAACATGAGACAGAAGAAGCTGTCGCTGGTATAATGCAGCATAGTGTTTTACGGTGAACTTTTTTCCATATGAGAATATATACTAACACAATAACAAAAGATGTAGTATAGTTAGCACATAAACTGGTAATATAGGCACTTACTACCATTACCTAGTACCCCATATTATATACAATTGTATATGCTTAAATTTTATATGTAGTAGGTTTATTTTTGCCAGCATCACCAAAGACACATGAAAGAATGTATTGCTCTAGGGTACTGTGATGGCTGTGACTTCACTAGGGAAAGGGAATTTTTCAGCTCCATAGTAATGTTACAGACCACATCATATTCAAAACCTGTTGTTGATGGAAACACTATTGTGCAGCACTGTCACGGTTTGTGTGGGTGGGCCCCAGGCCTCATTGACTTTGCATTATGCATTTATGATTGGTTCATTGTCTAGTACTTGATAGATGTGTCAGTGCTACACCCACAGAGGGGTGGAGCCAGCATACAATGTAATGGCAGGAAGAAGGTGTGTGTCTGTCTCTTGCAGGTTTCCAGCTTGCTGTTTGCAGCCACCATGAAACTGCAGTCCCGCCACGCCACCCTGCCTTGGATCCAACTGAGTATAGACTAAGACCTCTAAAAACTGTAAGAAATAAACTTTTCCTTTCCCAACTTGGGCATCATGTATTTTGTCTCAGTGACAAGTAAAAAGTAACCAAGACAAGCACATAGTCTATTCCTAGAGAAAGCCACAGAAGGTAGCACTGCTGTCAGCACTGGCAGCCCAAGGTGGACGCAGCAATCAAGAAAATCCAGGAAGGGCAGGGTGAAGAGAGAAGGAAAGAGGAAAGAAAGGGGTTAGAGGGAGAATAAGCTGAAAGGAGGAGGAGTGCCTCACATTTACCTAAGGCTGCCTGTGCCTACAGACTTTTCCTTAGCTGAATTGTCTTTCCTCTATGCTGCTGAAACATCTCAGTGTTTCAATCCCACAAGACAAGAAATAAAATGGAAATTCCAAAACTCTCTCCAAGAGACACGTAGTGCCCTTGCCACAAATGAGGCTGAGGCCCTACCCATTTGGGGCTCAGCCTTATCCTGGCCAGGACCCAGCCAGGATAGGAAAAGGAACTTGCCCTTTATAATGGGCTGCCTTTCTGCCTCCAGATGAGCACTGCAGGAGCTCTGGGAGAGGACCCCATGTCAGGAAGGGCCAGGGTAGAAGAAGTAAGCCTGAGTAGGGCTGATGTCTTCAGGGCAACAGGAAGCACCAGTGTAAACAACCAGTTTTCCAAGGATCTGGAGCAAAGCCAAAGTCATTTTCTGATGAGTCTATCAGTAAACCCAAAGGTTCACCTGCTGCATGCTTAGCTCTGCACAAGTTGTTAAGAAGAAAATATAAGGAAAAATTAAACACCAGCAAATGGACCTCACAAGTTTATGATTTCATTAGGAAGACAAGAATATTCCATTTGAAAAGTAAAGAACACTCATATATAAGTGAAACTCAGAAAGGAGGGACTGGTAAAGTAATTTGTGAAATAAAATGTCTTGAGCCCCTTTTTGTCCTCTGCCTTATCCAACTCTTACTTGTAGGAGGTTCCCAGAGCTATAAACTTGTGATTAGCACCCTGAAGCCCCCCCACTGAGAAGTCTTATGAAGAAATAACTGTATGGCACATAGGGAGACTGCACCTGGAACTCTGCTCTTGACCTGAAGCCCATAGCCCAAAGGTGACTGGAAAGACCAAGAGCAACAGAGCCCTGGGGACCATACTCACTTGGCAGGGGCCATCTGCACTGTGACCGACATGCGATAGTGACATCTGGCAAAAAGGGCCTGGAGAATTTACCCAAATCAATTCAAGATCCAGGAGTGACCAAAGAAAGGGCAGTAGGATGGGGATATGGAGTCAACACTGAGCTGTTTTAGAGAACATATAGAACGATATTTCTTAGGAACATGAGATGGTTAATTGAGATCTGCCATAACTTCCAGTTCTGAGAGGCCTAGAGATGGATATGACAGACAAAATGGGATCCAGCCTGGCCTTGGGAACTACAGGTGTGGCTTAGCGGAGACAAAGGAGCAGAGTAGAATGGAATGAGCAGAACAAGACATTTCAAGGGAGGGGACAGATGACAAGGACAGTCAAGAAGAGCTCTCCAGTGAAGCATGTCGTGCAAAAGAGGAAAAAGCCCTTGTTCAGTGTCTCTCCTCCTAATTACCAAAATGCACCTCTCACTGAACACCTTCGTGGGAAAGGTGCTGAGCTACCTGTGACATGTAAGGAGATGGGAAGCACGTGGGCTGGGCTCTCTGCACACTCAGAAGTTTCAGAGGTAACATATATACATGAGAAAAGCCCCAAGCCACAGTGCCATGCTCATGGCAAGGATTGTCGATATGTATTTGCTCTATTCGATCAAGTCTTCCCAAGCACCTCCTTCATACCATGCTAGCACTTGAGGCACAGAGTATCATCCTGAATAAATGCCAAGAAATCCCTTCCAGTTGAGGAAGGTCTCCCAGAATTGAGCCCATAAGGACTGGTAGGACTTGGCCAGGGAGGAAGCAGGTGTTCCTCACTTGTGATAGGAATGGCACACAGGACTAATGGCCTGGGAGACAAGCCAGGTGATATAGGGGTGAGGTACACCGAGTGTGGAGCAATCTGAGAAGAGCCAAGTGACAGCAGAGGCAAGTGAGGCTGGACAGGACATCTGGGAGCAGATGATAAAGTACCCTGGGTGGCACCCACAGGCCTTTGCACTTCAGGCAGTGGGCATGGAGCTACACAGGATTTCTGATCCTAAAAGTGGGGCTTTTAATGTGCCCACAAAAGCTCATGTCACTTCCAGAGAAATAGCAAATGGGGCAGGTGGGGCTGGGTTTTTCCATGTGCACAAAAATAATTTGCAGCCTAGTTATCTTGGTGTCAGTCTCTGAGTGATAGCTCTCCCTGAGCTCCTGCCAGAGATGGGCACTAAGGTGAGCCTCCAGGGCCATTCAGCCTCCGGGGCCCCAGCATGATGGTGAGGTCTGGGGAGACCTGCATGTTATATTCAAATAACTGATTTGGGGCATTTTTTGCTCTTTCCAGTATGATGAGAAGAGACAGAGGGCCACCAAGAAAGGGCAGAGTGATGAGCCCCTGAGGCCCACACCAAAATTTCAGTGATCTTGCTGAGTTCCAACAGTGCTTAGAGGGACTCAAGGTTGGATGACTGTCAACTTAGCTGCAAAATGTGCAGAATGTGTCTTCAGGTGCCTCCTGTGTGTGTGTGTGTGTGTGTGTGTGTGTGTGTGTGTGTATACTTGCATATTTCAGGGAACAGGGTGTTGAGTCACTTAGTCCTGATGCCCCAGGCCATCAAGATCAAGCAGCCAAGGATTGCCACAAGCCTTGCCTTTGAGGTGCTGTGAGCAAATCTCCTTGTGAGGAGGTCATTATCCTCACATACCTTGACATCGTGGGCATGAAAGAATTGCCTCACATACTCCCTCTTCTCAAGAAAAGTCCTGCTGAAATCAAAAGTAACCTATCTATATTTTAAGCTGTACAGCTATTTTCTTTTTACTGACACCTAAATCCTCAATACAATGTTAATTTAACGTTACACAGGTCACAAAAGGACTCTAAAAAGGAAGGTGGTAGCCATTGCTAATATCCTATTACCTTGCTTTGAAGTCCTATATTGGTTCCATTGTTCTGTTTTGTTTGGTTTTATTATGTCTGATGGTATGGACAGCTATTTGGAAGAAAACAAGAGACACTATGGTAGCCGTTACTGATTTCCTATTAATCTTGTTTTGAAGTCCTATATCAGGGTCACTGTTTTGTTTTGATTGGCTCTATTCTATTTGGTTCAGTTTTATTCTCTTTAAGATAAAAATAAAGATAATTTAAAAAGACCAATCCAAAAATGTTGTAGTTACACAGAGGTGGGGAGGAGCTTTTCCATCCATTCAGTGTGGGGTAGTGGGAAGGGTTACAAATGGGAAGCAGTAAAAATAGATTTCTGGGCCATTAGTAATTAGGCAGGAAAAAGAAGCCTGCTTTCAAACTGACTCACGTGCCTGGAATAAATCGGCCAAGGACTTCTATAGAATCACCCTCCAGACCCCAGCCTCTCCCAGATTCCTGCCTCCTGGTGTAACTGCACTGCACCCGGATTCTTGCTCAGCCCCTGGGTATCTCCTGCCCTCTGTGGCTGCCCTTCCTTGGCACTTTCCCCCACCCATTCAAGTTAGGAAAAATGTGTGATCAACACCTTCTGGACCCTTCCACCTCCCACCTGCCACCTGCCACCTGCCTGCCTCCGGATCTTTCTCAGATTGAAAGCAGCCAGAAAAGTTTTTGTTTTTGGAATCCCTATCCCCCACCCCCACCCTGGAAACAGGCAGCCGGTTACAGGTGAAGAGGGGCATCTCCAGCATGAGACTGCCAGCTGCAAAGGTGAACACAAGCACACTGCAGCCCAGCCAGGGCCTGGCATTTGCAGTGTTTAAATGCAAATTTTCCTGTGGCAGTCCTGGTCTCTTTGCAGGGGTGGCAGCTACTCTGGGAGGAAAGATGAGATTTAAATTGGTAATAAACCACTGTACCAAATTGGACTTTGACCTTGTTCAGAATTTCACTGGCCCGTGTTCCCTGACCGGCCACCCCTGCTTCTGCCCAATTGTTCCCTTGAGTAGCCGCCTGCTATCTGAGGCGGGCAGGCAGGCTGTCACCAGCTGCTGCCTCCCTGGCTGCCTTCCACCTGGCTGGTTCAGAAAGCCTTGGGAATCAAACAGCTTTGCCTTTCCAGCTTCTATTGCTACCTCTGGGCCTGTGGCAAGAATAGCAAGAATAGCAGTAGTTTGGACGAGGCCTCAGGCCCCAGCTGGGCCTGCTTGTAGGGCCTGGGAAGAGGAGAGGGCAGCTGCAGCATGCCACCATTAGTCCATTCTGGTTACCAGAGCAATTCCCCTATGAGGCCTGGAATGGCCAATGTGGCCTTCAGCCCCGCTGCGTCCCAGGCAGTAGCCTAGAGCCAACATTTATGTACTCCAGCTCCTTCCACAGCCCCAACAGCCTCTGCAGTGAGCATGTTTTTGCTCTGCAGAACCCCATGTTTATGCTCACTTCTTTGGTCTGGAAGGTCTTCCACATTCTTTTCCAACTTATCTAAATTGTACTCTTCCTTGCAAAGCAGGGAAGCCATACTCTTCCCATAGACCACTGTCCACAGCCCACTGTCCTTCTCTTACTCCTCAACTTATAGTTCAAATCAAGTGTATCAGTCAGTGTCCTCCAGAGAAACAGATTTAATATAAGATCTATAAATATGATGGAAGTGGAAGAGTGCAAAAGGGTTGTCTCCAGCTGTACAAGCTGGAGATCCAAAGGGCCCAGCCAAGGTTGAAGGACCCTCTGTGGACTCTCTGTATCAGGAGGCCAAAGAGTTTGCGATGAAAGCAGAAAGGTCTGCGCTGGAAGTCTGAAGAGTCTGTGCCAGAAACCAGAAGTCAAAGGAGCTAAGACAAAGAGCTCCTCTGAAGAAACAGCCGTGAGACTGCCTGCTTCCATCCCTTTTTATTTAACCCAGAGTACATGCCTATTGGCTGGTGCCCCTCAGGGTGGGTTTTCTGTCTTCAATAAATCCATCCAGCTGAACCCAGAACTGTACCA